AGTCCTTTGATTACACTGTCTATTGCCGATTGAAAGAGGCCAGACGACACATGCAATCCGAATGGGAGAAAATTATACTGATACATTCTCCACGGTGTGTTGATTGTTGTCAAGTAGCGAGATTCGATATCGAGTGGAATCTGTAGGTATGCGTCCATCAAATTGATCTTGGAAAAATACGGGCACCCATGCAATGACTTCATGAAGTCCTCTGGTTCCATGGAGGTCGCTGCACATCTCCGCAATCTCGGATTCAACGTCAGTCGATAGTCTCCACAGATCAGTGGTGTCCTACCATCACTTTTCATCGCCACGACGATCGGGGTAGCCCAGACACTGGATTCAACTTTGCTTATCACACCATCCTGCTCCATGTTCTGTAATGCTTTCAGGACACCTTCCCGTTGACCTTATGAGAGGACGCGTCGTTTTAGGAAAACAGGTTCACTGTCCACTTCCAACTTCACCGACGGTACTTTCATGCCACCAACGTTACCGGAACACTGTACAATCAACTGTTGAAGATTTGAAGTGATTGGCTTATCGTTGTTGGTATGTAGTGTGATTGACCCTTGTAGTAGCGGCATTGCTCGCAGGCTCAGAGTGGACGGACTGCGGGATGATACCAGGAATCGGATTTAGATTGACACACCGGACTCAGATTGAACGTTCAACACCGTTTCACCAAGTGATTGGAATTGATAACCGGTAACCCCATGAATGCGCACAGAAGTCAGGGCTAGAACAGCATTGGGACAAATAGTAGTGGGTGCTGATTTCGGTAGGATTGATTCTCTACTTCCTGTGTCCATGATGAATCAATGCTCCATACCAGACTCGAACCTCAGTGGGGAGAACACGAACTGGCCGTTGGGTTCAGTGATCTGCAGGGTGTAGATTGGGTTTGAATTCTCATCTGCCGTTGGGATATGGGAGTCGACGNCATGGACATTTGGCATACCTTGCGGATATGGCCCATCTTACTGCATGCATGGCAAGTGGCATTACAGAACCGACAAGTCGAATGAAAATGGTATTCACCACATGAAAAGCAGCGGTTCTTCGCAGCCTTCGGTTGTGTTCGTTTTGAACTGGGTACTTGAGAAATCGGGAGTGAATTATGAATACTGGGTGCATCACGTAATGGTTTGGTTGATTGCCGATGGAATGACACAGGAGTATCCGCATATGTGACCGCACAAAAATCATCACTTTGCTCACAGATTTTTCGAGCCTCAGAGACAGAGTCGTAGACTTAGATATTGCCTTACTCGTTGACAACGCCCCAACGATTCAAGAGTCGTTGAATCGGTTGGCCATTGAGGTTACTCGCTGTGGTATGTCCTTTGCACCTTCAAAAAGCAAAGTGTTGTTGCAAGACTGACAGGAACCCGTTCCTGCACTTTCATTGGGTGACACTCTGAAAGTAGTCGCAAACCTTGTTTGCCTCTGGAGTTGCATAGCGGCTGGTGGAGGTGTGGGCGAGATCTCTCAACGCGTGATCAAAGCTAGATTAGTGTTTGCTAATCTGCGGCATCTCTGGTGCCGGCGGGACATATCCCTTTCACTGAAAGGTCGTGTGTGAGACACTACGGCATATGGCATCGAACTAAGTCAGTGGCGTGAATGTATCCTTTCTTGTTTGTGATCCCAAAAATAAACAAAAAGGAAAAAATCTCAAAATGGCATGCAGTAAATAAACAAGATTTTTTATTCCCGGAAGTTGACTGTTTTGTTGAAAATATATTGAAAATCGGTTCTCGTAGCTCGGGTGAACTGAATTCCATTTCGCCTGTTAGCCGAGCTTGGCAATTTGTTTGCAAACGTTCCACCACCAGCCGAGGTGACATTATCAGTGCTTGTGAAGTGGCCAGTTTCTGTTTCTATATGTTTTGTTAACCCATGGTTATTTTGGTGCCGTATAGGTAAAGATTGGTGTTAAATATATATATATCACTTATTTTCAGTGGTTTTTATCGGTTAACTAGAGACTGGTATTAATGATGACTTACAACCGTGATAAATACTTGGTTTCTTTTACTTTCAACTTTGGATGAAAATAGAAGTGCGAATGGAATTTATAACCCGAACTCTGTTCCAAAAGATTGTTAGGCCTGAGTAAAGTAGGGAAGCGTACGGGACAGGGCTGTAGAAGGTCATGTTGGCGTTGGATATCGGGAGTTAATGAAAGAATTATAATACGAAGAGGGAAAGCTGACTTCAAAAGGCTCACATCATCTGTTTCCCCTAGGAATGGTTCGCAGTACAGTCTTACTTGCTCATTATTTGATTATTTGTATTCCGCTTAACGGTTCATTTGATAGTGGCCAATTGGAAATGAGTGTTCCCACTAAGGAGAAGTAACCGGATGCAAGCATGTCAGTGAACGTCGAACTTTGCAAGGAAATGTGATAGCGTAATTGGTATTACTAAGCTTGTGACCGCGCGTCGACTGTCTGTAGGTTCTTACATGTGACCAGCGAACTGAAATTTTGCTGCCTTCATCATCAGTGTTTGGTATTGACTTTGATTTGTGGAATTTTTTCGATCACGACCCGGCCTTGGTGAATCATCAGAAAACGATCAGCCTGCTTCTCGATCGGGTGCTATCACACCCCACCCACATGTCTGCCCATCCAACCTACACGTGTCCACACTCGTTGACTAGGTCATGTGACCCACGACACACACAGACGCACGCGCATCACGACAAGGCTTACCAGTCATGTGACACGCACTAAACGCGCCTATCCCCCCACCACTGGCCCATTCATGCATTCATAAACCTGAGCAATCAGTGTACTTGACCTTGTGACATTCGCCCATCAGTTTTGCGTGACTAGGATCCAACACGACCCGTTGCACGTCGGATTATTGCGTACGAACTTTGTGGGCTATATTACGTTGTTTATTTACGCAGACTCAGGGGACCTGGACGTGGGTACTTACCCCCTGCCCTACTTTAACTGTCGATTTACACCAATCTGCTATTTACGTGTACTAACTGTTAGTTAGTTATTTAATACAGAACCGCATTGATATTCATATACGCATCGCGTACGATAAGGTGCTTGCGTTTTGTTCAACTCAACTGGGATTGCGAATAATCAAGTGAGTGATCAGACCGAGATAAGATTTACGTTGAGATTCACGGAGCTTACAGTTATCAAGATAGAGACATCTGTGAAACAATGTTATCAAAAGGTTAATCACATACATCAGATAGTGATGATACGAATGTAGACAAAACAATGTGTACGAACTAATTTGAAGAAGCCACTACTGAAAGAGACAGAGCTAACAAGGCTGCGCATAACTCCGTTGGAGAAGGAACTAGAATAGGAGAAATAGAAGCAATGGAAGAACCCAGTGACTTTCAAGTCTGAACCATTCCGTCTTGTACGGCCAATGGTATACGTAGACCTACCGAAGTAATATATCGAAAAATTCCAAGGAGACCCCTCGAAATATTGGTCGTTCATGCGCTGTTTGTGGACCTCGGTGGATTACCTCCCAATCGACGGTGAGGTAAAGTTGGTCTATCTCATTCAGTTTTGTAAAAGACCAATAAAGGAAGCCACTGAGGATTTGGTGGTATTAGATGGTGAGGTGGGTTACCCAAGAAACATTAAAGAAATGTTTCGGGCAAAACCACGTGATTCATCATGCTCTCGTAAATCGTATTACCGAAGGGGTACCTATTGCGATCAATGACAACCTTAATCTGATGACGATGGCTCAATAGATGAGGGTATGCGAGACCACCCTAACGCAATTAAATTACTTATCCGACATCAGTGTTTTCAGAACTCTGGAGTGTATTTTCCGACGATTGTCAAGGACTTTACAACTCAAATGGGCTGAAGTAGCCGCAGATTTGATTTCAGAACAAGATGAACACCATTTTATCCACCTTTGTGCATTTAATGAATGTCAAGCTGTAATAAGGAACTCAAACTTTGACGTTCATCACCAAAGACTCAAACGAACCCAGATTTTGAGAATAGTCGCAAATACACACTTGTGACCATTTGGAAGAACGATGACAAACTGTTAGTTGGTTCTCCAAAGATATAATGCCTCATGTGAAAACAAGCAAATTGTCTTGATCAGTGCACCGATTTTCTACAACTAACTCTCGAACGCACCTGAGAGAAGATTACATCATTTATGTTTGAAACCAAATCATAATGCCCAATCTTATCCGTATCACCGTCTTTACACTTCAGAAAATTGGGAAAAAGCTCAGCACGTCCTACTCCATTTGACGATGAAGCTCCCCCTCTGCAGGAAGCTAATTTACACTATCAAATAAAGCGACAAGAAGCTGGGAAAGGAAACGCTGTTGCCCTGTGTGATTCCAGTCAGAGTTCGACGCGGTAGCACAGTTATCAAAACTTTGGAGTTTTTGGATAACGGATCCAATCGCACGTTGATAGAAGAAAGGTTAACGAGACGACTCGGAGCAATAGGAAAACGTACGTCCTTATCTACCAACACTGTTTCCGGAACCACTGAAAATGCGGCGTTTTAAACTTCATTTTCGGTCGAATCTTGTGATGGATCAAACGGGCCTGGACGATAAATTGACTTCCCAAAATAGAAAGAGTCCTGCCTACAATGGAAGAACTGAAGTCATGAGAGCATCTCGCGTGTTCAACCTTCCCTTGAATATGCGAGTAGAATTTGTAATTGGTTCTGCCGATCCAGTGGGTATTGGAACGGTGATTGGAAAAGATTGACAACCTTACGCGATCATAACGGCATTAGGATGGAGTTTAGTGGATCCAACTTGGCGTTCGTCAGTGTAAAGGTGTTACGCCTCGACACTGAATGATTTACAAGGACGAATACAGCATCTCTACGATCATGAATTCATGTAACCAAAGGAGAGCAGAGCCAAGGAAATTGCCTTTAGATGACAAGACCGCATTATCAGTATTCAAACGATCTCTGAAGTTTGACGGTGCTCCCTTTGAAGTCGCTCTTCCTTGGAAACGAGCTCCTTACCGTCCAGGCAACCGTTTGATGGCCGTGTCGCGTCTAAACAACCTCGTGAGCTATCTAACTAAGCATCCAAAATTGAAACTGAAGTACTGCGAGGCGATGGAGGACTATTATTCTGATGTGCATGCTATTCCTCTATGCGATTTTAGAGGACACTCTGACGAAGTCTGGTATCCACCTCCTCACGCAGTGCTGCGTCCAATGAAATCCGATAAATTCAAGGTTGTCCTCGACTGTGCAGCCCAGTTCCCGAACGATTCATTGAACGGTAGTTTACT